GTCGTGGATGGGTCTTCCAGCATGACAACGACCCAAAACACACAGCCAGGGCAACTAAGGAGTGGCTCCGTAAGAAGCATCTCAAGGTCCTGGAGTGGCCTACCCAGTCTCCAGACCTGAACCCAATAGAAAATCTTTGGAGGGAGCTGAAAGTCCATATTGCCCAGCGACAGCCCCGAAACCTGAAGGATCTGGAGAAGGTCTGTATGGAGGAGTAGGCCAAAATCCCTGCTGCAGTGTGTGCAAACCTGGTCAAGACCTACAGGAAACGTATGATCTCTGTAATTGCAAACAAAGGTTTCTGTACCAAATATTTAATTCTGCTTTTCTGATGTATCAAATACTTATGTCATGCAATAAAATGCAAATGTATTACTTAAAAATCATACAAAGTGATTTTCTGGATTTTTCTTTTAGATTCCGTCTCTCAAAGTTGAAGTGTACCTATGATAACAAATACAGACCTCTACATGCTTTGTAAGTAGGAAAACCTGCAAAATCGGCTGTGTATCAAATACTTGTTCTCCCCACTGTATATATATATTTATTTATATTAAACAATAGCATTTTCATTAGTTTATGTTACTGTAGGCTATACTATATGTAAAAACTAAAAAACACAAAAAAACACCCAAATTCAAGTGTTAAATAAATGTTATTTGTTACAACCTATGAAACAGAACGCATATGTGTTGGAACATGGTAACAGATGGTTTTTACAGCCTAAACATCATTATACGCGCCAAGTGGCCTTGATAAATAGTGAAACTCGGCACAAAAGCAATAATGGCATTATAATTAATTTAAGTGTTGATATGACAGCTGTAAGAAATAGTCAATTATTGTCAGCTCGTGCACATCTTCACGCAATGGCATCAGTTGGAATTCATTTAGCTGTTTTTCCTTGTCCTAACAGTTGACACAATCTTCTTTGACATACCTTTGTTTGGTTGTAGTGCGTAATAGTCTCTGCTTTTCTCTTTATTGTGCTACCGTTGTCTTGTCATTCTTCTGCACCATTTTGGAGTACAACAGCTGTGCAGGTGCCTTATTTTGTTCAGAGGGAGGGAGCTCACGTCTCACTTTGTTCATGGTGCCGGCCAGACTTGTTTTCTTTGCAAGCAACTTGACAGTGATGTGAAGAAATTGTCCTTGGTTCCACAAGCCTCATCACCACATTTTCCAACACTCGCTCACCTGCTGCTCGATGTGGATATTTGACCAGATACTGAAAGTTTTTTTTTTTTTTGCAGACACTCTTATCCAGAGCGACTTAGTGAGTGCATGCATTTTCGTACTGGTGTCACGCCCGGACTCAAGGGACTCGTATATGTTAAGTCAGGGTGTGTATGTTCTATGTTGTATATTTCTAGGTTGAAGTTCTAGTATGTCTATTTCTATGTTGGCCGGTGTGGTTCCCAATCAGAGGCAGCTGTCGCTCGTTGTCTCTGATTGGGAACCATACTTAGGCAGCCTTTTGTGGGATCTTGTTCCGTGTGAGGTATGTTGTTTGTCTACCTTGGACTTCACGTTTCATTTCATTCGTTGTTTTGTCGTGGTGTTTATTCAAAATAAATAAACATGAATTCATATCACGCTGCACCTTGGTCCTTCTCGTTCGTCAACGATCGTGACAACTGGTCCCCCATGGGAATCAAACCCACAACCCTGGCATTGCAAGCGCCATGCTCTACCAACTGAGTTACACGAGATTCATACAATTATGCAGACTCTCACTGTGTAGCCTACTCCAAGTAGGCCAGAGTAGACTGATAAGACTGCTTTGATTCAGTGGACTGATATAGGGTACATTTTAAGATTATAATTAGAATAGATCAATACAATAGAATGGCCCTGTTCTTCATTCACAATTGGTGATTACATAATTATGCATCGTTTGCTTCCCCTCGCTCCTCAACTCAGCCATTCTCCCCCTTTCTCCCCATCATACTTAACTTCATTTATTTACTCTGTTATATATGTGAAATTAGTTTCGGTATAGGTAAGGTTCAGTTTCGAGGCAATTATCAGCTGGGTACTGAACTTTCAACTGTCGTAAGAAGGAGCAGAGCAGGCCCTACTGTCGGGAGAAGGAGGGGCAATGGGGGAAACTCTATTTCTGTTTGATTCTAACCGACAGTGTGTGGGAGAAGTCAAGGACGGAGGGGGGCTTGACTTAAATGGCAGAGTAAAAAACTAACAAAAAGAGGTTGAGCAGCGTAATCCTGGCTGCTTCTCCTTCTCTTGCCCTCGCCCCCTTTTCCCTTCCCTATGGGCCATACCACAGGAGCTGATGGATGAAAGCTCATGTTCCAAGGCCCTGTGTGTGTGTGTACGTGTGTGTGTGCTTGAGGGCGTGTGTGAGCGTGCCTGTGTGTGAGCCAAGAGCGGGATCATTAGCAATAGTGGCAGATCATTTCAGCGTTTGGAATGATGACATTGGTGGCAATACTAAGACCTTATTAATCCACATTGCCAACGACTGGAGGCCTCTGCATTGCCTGCCTGTCTGTTTCTCTAATGAATTCAGAGCTGTAGGCTGTTGGGATTTAGCAGCCCTTTTCTAAAATGCAGAAAACCGCTTCAACTCAATTCTTGGCACGGAGAAAGGTCAAATTAGTTATATTATTGTCTACAAACAAGTTAGCTTTATTAATGAATTCAAGGGGATGCCAGTTCAATTTGGTTGTCTGAGTGAAATACAATTTACGTAGCACAAACTCGGGGGATGTGTTTTTGGCTCTTACCCTCTGATCCCTCCAGCCCCCTGTATTAGCCAGACTGACTCATGCGGTGTTAATGACAGATATCTCCCTGTGCTCTAATAACAATAGTGACACTAGCCATTATTTGTGGAGTCAATGATTATGCGCCATTAGCAAGCTTACACGTAGCTACAGTGCCTTGCAAAAGTATTCATCCCCCTTGGCGTTTTTCCCATTTTGTTGCATTACAACCTGTAATTTAAATGGATTTTTATTTGGATTTCATTTAATGGACATACACCCATTTGGACTATTTTGTGAAGTGAATGAAAAAAATTACTTTTTTCAAAAAATACTAAAAAATAAAGAACGGAAAAGTGGTGCGTGCATATGTATTCACCCCCTTTGCTATGAAGCCCCTAAATAAGATATGGTGCAACCAATTACCTTCAGAAGTTGCATAATTAGTTAAATAAAGTCTACCTGTGTGCAATCTAAGTGTCACATGATCTGTCACATGATCTCAGTATATATACACCTGTTCTGAAAGGCCCCAAAGGTCTGCAACACCACTAAGCAAGGGGCACCACCAAGCAAGCGGCACCATGAAGACCAAGGAGCTCTCCAAACAGGTCAGGGACAAAGTTGTGGAGAAGTACAGATCAGGGTTGGGTTATAAAAAAATATCAGAAACTTAAACAGGTTCTACTTCACATATCACAGGCACCAGCAACACTTTACATTGAGATGATTAGTTTGGGGAAAGGGGATTAAGACGGATATCTTCAAGTTTTGCAGTATGTTTAGTAGTATGCTTTATTGGTAGAAAGAAACAAATATCAGAAACTTTGAACATCCCATGGAGCACCATTTAAATCCATTATTAACAAATGGAAAGAATATGGCACCACAACAAACCTGCCAAGAGAGGGCCGCCCACCAAAACTCACAGACCAGGCAAGGAGGGCATTAATCAGAGAGGCAATAAAGAGATCAAAGATAACCCTGAAGGAGCTGCAAAGCTCCACAGCGGAGATTGGAGTATCTGTCTATAGGACCACTTTAAGCCATACACTCCACAGAGCTGTACTTTACAGAAGAGTGGCCAGAAAAAAGCCATTGCTTAAAGAAAAAAATAAGCAAACATGTTTGGTGTTCGTCAAAAGGCATGTGGGAGACTCCCCAAACATATGGAAGAAGGTACTCTGGTCAGATGAGACTAAAATTGAGCTTTTTGGCCATCAAGGAAAACGGTATGTCTGGCGCAAACCCAACACCTCTCATCACCCCGAGAACAACATCCCCACAGCTTAATGCTGCCACCACCATGCTTCACTGTGGGGATGTTTTTCATCGGCAGGGACTGGGAAACTGGTCAGAATTGAAGGAATGATGGATGGCGCTAAATACAGGGAAATTCTTGAGGGAAACCTGTTTCAGTCTTCCAGAGATTTGAGACTGGGACGGAGTTTCACCTTCCAGCAGGACAATGACCCTAAGCATACTGCTAAAGCAACACTCGAGTGGTTTAAGGGGAAACATTTAAATGTCTTGGAATGGCCTAGTCAAAGCCCAGACCTCAATCCAATTGAGAATCTGTGGTATGACTTAAAGATTGCTGTACACCAGCAGAACCCATCCAACTTGAAGGAGCTAGAGCAGTTTTGCCTTGAAGAATGGGCAAAAATCCTAGTGGGTAGATGTGCCAAGCTTATAGAGACATACCCCAAGAGACTTGCAGCTGTAATTGCTGCAAAAGGTGGCTCTACAAAGTATTGACTTTGGGGGGGGTGAATAGTTATGCATGCTCAAGTTTTCAGTTTTTTAGTCTTATTTCTTGTTTGTTTCGCTAGAAAAAATATTTTGCATCTTCAAAGTGGTAGGCATGTTGTGTAAATCAAATTATACAAACCCCCAACCTCCAGGTTGTAAGGCAACAAAATAGGAAAAATGCCAAGGGGGGTGAATACTTTCGATAGGCACTGTATTAGTCCTATTAGTCGGCACTGACACGCCGGTCCGATCAGGGCGACTCAGGAGGTAATGTGACACAGGGAGCAGGGTAATAGAAAGAAGTCAGGGCAGCTCTGACCAGGGCCTGCTGTTTAGAAAGTCATCAGACACCTACAGACACACTGTGGACAGATAGTACAGGACATTATAAAGACACACACACACTGTCAATTTGGTATGATGTTAAACAAATGTGTATTGTAAGTTACATTCATAAGAGGAGGGGAAGGTTTGACCCTACGGTTCAGTGGTTGACTTGTGGAGGAGGGAGCTCTCTAGGGAATGTTCGTGTGGTGGGGTTTTGACTGAGTAAATGTGCAATGTTCTGTTTCTCTGCAGTGATGTTTGGAGTACCTGAGATTTCGTAGAGCTCTGTTTTGTGTTTTATATTTAACATTTTAATAATTTATCAGATGCTCTTATCTAGAGTGACTTACAGAAGCAATTAGAGTTAAGTGCCTTGCTCAAGGGCACATAATTTTTCACCTGTCGATGTCGGCGCTGGGATTCGACCAAGCAACATTTTCACTCTTAACCGCTAGGCTACCTGCCGCCCCTATGCTGTGACGGTATTGTTTGGAGGACCTGAGTTAACTGTGTTGTCTTCTGTGTCTACAGTGGCATCGGAAGGAACTGGCCATGGGCGTCTGGAGGCAGCAGCATCCTGGCAGAGTACGGCACCCTGCACCTGGAGTTCATGCACCTCTCCAAGCTGTCAGGGAATCCAGCCTTCGCAGAGAAGGTGAGAGCTAGGGAGCCACAGCACCGTCGTTTCCATTCCAGTGCATTAACACCAGTCTAAACTGAGCACTCAGCCAGCCTGATGATGGGGTTATTCATAGCCGCAACCTTCATTACTATTCTTGTTAACGCCTGTTCCGCAGGTATATGCCTTCTTTCCGCTATGATTCATCGGCGTCTCTCTCTTATACCTCCTTTAACTGCCGTCCCTGCAGTAAGGCCATTTAAAGTGCATTACTGTGGCGTGCTGCTGGAAGATGAGGAGGCAATGAGGTTGCAGGAAGAAAGTAGAAACTCATTTCTCTGGTTCCGCCTCCTAGGTCATGAACATCCGGAAGGTTCTTAATCGCCTTGATAAGCCTCAGGGACTGTACCCCAACTACCTGAACCCTAACAGCGGACAGTGGGGACAACGTAAGTCCCCCTATCTCTCATCTGACCCTTCTCTCTCTCTCTCTCTCTCTCTCTCTCTCTCTCTCTCTCTCTCTCTCTCCTGTCTCATTCCTCTCTCCCTCTTACCATTCTCTCCCCTCTCTCTCCTTCTTCCATCTCATCCCTCTCTCCTCCCTCTACATCACTCTTTAACCATCTCACCTCTATCTTCCATATTGCCCATCCTTTTCTCTTTTCACCACTATCATCCCTCTCTCCCATCTCACCCTCTCACCCTATTCTATTTCCATTAGTGGTACATCAGTGGCTATCAACTGCAGTTTCACAGCCTGTAATTATCAAGCCATTTACAGCCGGGAGAGCCACGTCAGTCCAGTGGTACACATGACTTCTGATGGCGAGGGCTGTGCATTAGACAATTATGTAACTTCATGCTGCACAGTGACATCAGGGAGAAATAAGTGTCTGTGGCTAATGACAGTACTTAAAAATGACTGTGGCGTTCAGGTGTCTGAATTCTGCCAGTAAAGTAATTAGTCCTTCTCCATGGCTACAGTTCAGTCCTGATACCTCCACACAATACTACATTCTCACTCAAACTCAAACACCTACTCCTTAGACTTGATAAATGGGCTTCATGCCACTCAGGCACCCCAACAGTTCAGCACCCCTGTCCCTGACTGGTATGGAGCCACTGCCACTGTGGCATTACCCAGCTCCAGCCAGGCCACCTCTTGACAAAATGAGCTTCAGCCCAAAGGATTGCCTGATCTAGGCCACAGTGAGGTGGCTGGGGAGTGGTGGTGGTGGCAGTGGAGGAACCCTGAAGTGTGTCCGTGGTCAGACAGCCCTGTGCCCAGAAGACAGCAGCTGCTGTGGATCCCCTCACTAATGAGTGTGTTTGTCTCTGAGCCGCACAAAAGGTCAATGAGATGCATAGTCCAGATCAGATTAGACCAGACCAGTCGTTACCTCAGCCATATGCTTCTGGCTGTAGCATCCTGAGGGACCCACTGCACCTCTCTCTCACACACACACACACACACACACACACACACACACACACACACACACACACACACACACACACACACACACACACTCATTTGAATGCATATTTTAGCCATGTTGTTTGTTTTGCTATTCTATGTGATACCACCTTCCCCCTCCCCAGCCCTGTAGATACACACACACACACACACACACAGTCTTTGGTCCTGCCCCTGATCAGCTTGGCAAGCCTCTCCCCAGTCCCCATGACACAGCAGTCTAAACAGTCTGTTGTCTGTGTGTGTCTAATAACTCTGTCATGCTAATGATCTATGATCATCCCAGTGTGAGGTATGTGTGTTCGTGTGTTTGTGTCGTGTGTGTGAGTCGTGTGTGTGAGTCGTGTGTTTGTGTGACCCCCTATGATTGAATGCCCCCTCTACGCCCTCGCTGAAATGTCACGTCTGATGAATACGCGTACCAACCGTCTTTGTGTTTGTCTCTGCTGTTGTCCCTGGTGAGCAAGCAGCGAGGGGCCGTGTTCACCGCTAATGACTGGTCGCTGTATGTCCAGCCCCTCTCCTGCCTCTGGGTGGATCAGTAGAAGGGGAGGAAGAGGAGGACAGCCATCCTGCTTGTCTCTCATTCTCTCTGACAACTTGATTCATCCCATCTACTGCACTGCTCCCAGAGGGATTTTCTGCATGGATTTATCTGGTTGTAGTTTGCAACTCCGTAATATAGTGAACATCTGAGTCCTGTGTCTCTATGGATGACTCTACATGTTTGGGTCTTTGAAGTGTAGTATTATTATTATAATTACATGTAGCTACTCTGATGGGAGCCAGCCAGGTGAGGGAGAGAGTGGCTCTGTGATTTGCTGACTGCCTAAGGGAAGGTAGATGTTCTACGCCAGTAATGCCAAACCACGCTTTTCCAAGACAAACATTGCTAAAAGCACCTCTAAAAGTTTGTATTTTTCAACTTATTAATGTGGTCTACATTTGTCAGTGTTAGCTGGAAGAAGAATTTCCATGTAAAGAAAAACAACTCAAGTGACAAATATCCAGAGGGTATAGGAATGGTAATGTTGGATGTGATTTCAAAAATAGAAAGGTTCACACCAGGACCATTTGCCACCTGGGGATATTTTACTTGTACATTAGACAGGAACCACCTGAGGGTGATCTCATGGAAATGGTCTTGCCATTCTCAATGTCTCAGTGTTTCTCAGATGGCCTATCAAAGCTCTGGTGATGCTGTTGTTGTTATTGATGGGATGTTTGAATTTAATCAGTGCAGTACAGTGTCCCTCTGAGCAAAGTAGCTGCTTGACTGTCACGTCTTCCTATGTGCCAATGACATGGCCCACAGACATGACTGAAATCCTGTCACACCAATGACATGGCCCACAGACATGACTGACATCCTATCACACCAATGACATGGCTCACAGATATGACGGACATCCTATCACACTAATGACATGGCCCACAGATATACGGACATCCTATCACACCAATGACATGGCCCACAGTCATGATGGAGACAGTACAGGTGCATCAAAGCCAAGACTGAGAGACTAAAAAACAGCTTCTATTACCAGGCCATTAGACTGTTGAACAGCTTCTATTACCAGGCCATTAGACTGTTGAACAGCTTCTATTACCATCAGACTGTTGAACAGCTTCTATTACCAGACCAACAGACTGTTGAACAGCTTCTATTACCAGGCCATCAGACTGTTGAACAGCTTCTATTACCAGACCATCAGACTGTTGAACAGCTTCTATTACCAGACCAACAGACTGTTGAACAGCTTCTATTACCAGGCCATCAGACTGTTGAACATCACTAGCCGTCTACCAGGTGATGCACACTCACTCACAAAACACACAGACAAGCTATCACACACACGTACACACACCTCCACCACCTCATACTGATGATGGGATAACGTCCCCAAGTCACCTACACAGAGGTGTCAGTCAGCAGCCTAGAGAGGACCTGCCACCACCATGTCTCTCCCAGCAACCTCAGTCAGACACACACACACAATCACCCTGTTATCCAGGTCCAAAGCCTCTCCCGCTCGTATCTTTTATGGAAGTGTGTATTGTCAAACAGATAAAGCCATGATCAGATCCTTGACCTGGTGTTCCCTCTCTGACCTGCTGTTAACCCCTATGGCATTGAGGCCGGCCCAATTCGGCCCCAGTCAGCCAGGAAGTACAGCCCCTATCAGGGCTAAGGCCACATTCTAAACCCCTACCTCTGTAGCTCTGTCCTGTCACCTTTATTACTGCTGGAGTCTATCTCCATCTCCCAAACAACGCTGTGGCTGTTAATGACATACAGTTGAAGTCCGAATTTTACATACACTGAGGTTGGAGTGATTAAAACTTGTTTTTCAACCACTCCACACATTTCTTGTTAACAAACTATAGTTTTGGTGCATGTCAGAAGTATGTGCATGACAGAAGTAATTTTTCCAACAATTGTTTACAGACATATTATTTCACTTTAAATTCAATGTATCACAATTCCAGTGGGTCAGAAGTTTACATACACTAAGTTGACTGTACCTTTAAACAGCTTGGAAAATTCCAAAAAATGATATCTTGGCTTTAGAAGCGACTGATAGGCTAATTGACATAATTTGAGTCAGTTGGAGGTGTACCTGTGGATGTATTTCAAGGCCTACCTTCAAACTCAGTGCCTCTTTGCTTGAGTAAGGAAGGACAATTATGTGTATATATTGAAGCAACATCTCAAGACATCAGTCAGGAAGTTAAAGCTTGGTCGCAAATGGGTCTTCCAAATGGACAATGACCCCAAATATACTTCCAAAGTTATGGCAAAATGGCTTAAGGACAACAAAGTCAAGGTATTGGAGTGGCAATCACAATGCCTTGACCTCAATCCTATAGAACATTTGTGGGCAGAACTGAAAAAAAGTGTGCGAGCAAGGAGGCCTACAAACCTGACTCAGTTACACCAGCTCTGTCAGGAGGAATGGGCCAAAATTCACCCAACTTATTGTGGGATGCTTGTGGAAAGCTACCCGAAACGTTTGACCCAAGTTAAACAATTTAAAGGCAATTCTACCAAATACTAATTGAGTGTATGTAAACTTCTGACCCACTGGGAATGTGATGAAAGAAATAAAAGTTGAAATAAACCATTCTCTCTACTATTATTCTGACATTTCACATTCTTAAAATAAGTGGTGATCCTAACTGACCCAAGACAGATACTTTTTACTAGGATTAAATGTTATGAATTGTGAAAAACTGAGTTTAAATGTATTTGGCTAAGGTGTATGTAAACTTCTGACTTCAACTGTTTATTTTATTTTTTATTTAACCTTTATTTAACCAGGTAAGCCAGTTGAGAACAAGTTCTCATTTACAACTGCGACCTGGCCAAGATAAATCAAAGCAGTGCGATAAAAAACAACAACACAGAGTTACATATGGGGTAAACAAAACATAAAGTCAAAAATACAACAGAAAATATATATACAGTGTGTGCAAATGTAGCAAGTTATGGAGGTAAGGCAATAAATAGGCCATAGTGCAAAATAATTACAATTTAGTAGTAACACTGGAATGATAGATGTGCAAGAGATTATGTGCAAACAGAGATACTGGGGTGCAAATTAGCAAAATAAATAACAATATGGGGATGTGGTAGTTGGGTGGGCTAATTTCAGATGGGCTGTGTACAGGTGCAGTGATCGGTAAGGTGCTCTGACAACTGATGCTTAATGTTAGTGAGGGAGATAAGAGTCTCCAGCTTCAGAGATTTTTGCAGTTCGTTCTAGTCATTGGCAGCAGAGAACTGGAAGGAATGGCGGCCAAAGGAGGTGTTGGCTTTCGGGATGACCAGTGAGATATACCTGCTGGAGCGCATACTACGGGTGGGTGTTGCTATGGTGACCAATGAGCTAAAATAAGGCGGGGATTTGCCTAGCAGTGATTTATAGATGAGGGGGGGGGGGCATGGGCAAGTTGCAGTGGAGGGTGCAGAGCTGGTGGCCGGGGTAGTGGTAGCCAGGTGGAAAGCATGGCCAGCCGTAGCAAAATGCTTGTTGAAATTCTCGATTATTGTAGATTTATCGGTGGTGATAGTGTTTCCTAGCCTCAGTGCAGTGGCAGCTGGGAGGAGGTGCTCTAATTCTCCATGGACTTTACAGTGTCCCAAAACTTTTTGGAGTTAGTGCTACAGGATGCAAATTTCTGTTTGAAAAAGCTAGCCTTTGCTTTCCTAACTGCTTGTGTATATTGGTTCCTAACTTCCCTGAAAAGTTGCATATCGCGGGGGCTATTCGATGCTAATGCAGTACGCCACAGGATGTTTTTGTGCTGGTCAAGGGCAGTCAACTCTGAGGAGAACCAGGGACTATATCTGTTCTTAGTTCTGAATTTTTTGAATGGGGCATGCTTATTTAAGATTAAGAGGAAAGCACTTTTAAAGAACAACCAGGCATCCTCTACTGACGGAATGAGATCGATATCCATCCAGGATACCTGGGCCAGGTCAATTAGGAAGGCCTGCTCGCTAAAGTGTTTTAGGGAGCATTTGACAGTAATGAGGGGTGGTCGTTTGACCGCGGACCCGTTACAGACGCAGGCAATAAGGCAGTGATCGCTGAGATCCTGGTTGAAGACAGCGGAGGTGTATTTAGAGGGTAAGTTAGTCAGGATGATATCTATGAGGGTGCCCATGTTTACGGATTTAGGGTTGTACTGGTAGGTTCCTTGATAATTTGTGTGAGATTGAGGGCATCTAGTTTGGATTGTAGGATGGCCGGGGTGTTAAGCATATCCCAGTTTAGGTCACCAAGCAGTACGAACTCTGAGGATAGATGGGGGGCAATCAATTCACATATGGTGTCCAGGGCACAGCTGGGGGCTGAGGGGGGTCTGTAGCAAGCGGCAACATTGAGAGACTTATTTCTGGAAAGGTGGATTTTTAGAAGTAGGAGCTCAAACTGTTTGGGCACATACCTGGATAGTATGATAGAGCTCTGCAGGCTATCTCTACAGTAGATTGCAACTCCACCCCCTTTGGCAGTTCTATCTAGACGGAAAATGTTGTAGTTGGGGATGGAAATTTCTGAATTTTTGGTGGCCTTCCTAAGCCAGGATTCAGACACTGCTAGAACATCAGGGTTGGCAGAGTGTGCTAACGCAGTGAATAACTCAAACTTAGGAAGGAGGCTTCTGATGTTAACATGCAAAAAGCCAAGGCTTTTACGGTTACAGAAGTCAACAAATGATAGCGCCTGGGGAGTAGGAGTGATACTGGGGGCTGCAGGGCCTGGGTTAACCTCTACATCACCAGAGGAACAGAGGAGGACTAGAATAAGGATACGGCTAAAGAACTGGTCTTCTAGTGCATTGCGTACAGAGAATAAAAGGGGAAGATTTCCGGACGTTGTAGAATAGATTCAGGGCATTATGTACAGACAAGGATATGGAAGGATATGAGTACAGTGGAGGTAAACCTAAGCGTTGGGTAACAATGAAAGAGATAGCATCACTGGAGGCACCGATTGAGCCGGTCTCCGCGTGTATGGGGGGTGGAACAAAGGAGCTATTTGAGGCAGTTTGAGAGGGACTTGGGGCTCTACAGTGAAATTGTATAATAAGAACTAACTGGAACAGCAATAGGCAAGGCATATTGACATGGGAGAGAGGCATAAAGCAATCACAGGTGTTATTCGAGAGAGCTAAGACAACAACTGGTAATGGCGATAAAAGTTTGGGCTGAGGCTAAACAGATAAAACAGTACAGGGTACCGTGTAAAGGAACAGTCCAGCAGGCATCAGCTGTGCAGCTGAGTGATCATAAGGTCCAGTGAACAACAATGTGAGTCCGAGAGCAGTTCGAATTGGTGCTACAGCACAGGCGATCAGGAAGCACGCCTGTTGAATTGCGTGTGCTAGCGGGCCGGGGCTAGCAGATGGAACTTAGTGGTCGTCGCAACGGGAAGCCTGTTGAAACCACAGACAATTACGTCGGCAGACCAGTCGTGATGGATCGGCGGGGCTCCGTGTCGACACTAGGAGGTCCCGTCCGGTTGACAGAGAGGTAGATAACCGGGAGATGGGCCTGACTCAAGGCTAGCTCAAGGCTGATTAGCCAACCACAACATCCATTCGGTTGCAGCTAGCTAGTTGCGATGATCCGGTGTTAAAGGTCCAGTGATTCAGTTATTCCGGCAGAAAATCAGACGTTCTGGGTGAAAACCGCTAACGGTGGCTAATAGCAAGTAGCTAGTTAGCTGGCTAGCTAGTTTCAACTGGAGATTCTAGATAAAAGGTAAGTAAATAGTAGAATCCGTTCCACATTGAGTGAGGCGGGTTGCAGGAAAGTATATTTAGTAGAAGGATGAAAAGTGTGATAGGGAAATATATACAACAAAAGACAAAAAAATAAAAAAACAGGCTATTTATACGGACACACAACAGAGTACACGACCGCACTGCTACGCCATCTTGGATTCTGTACATATGTATGAGGGGGCACGATAATCAATATGACAAACATAGTGGCTTGGCTTGGCTTGGCTGGGGCTTTCTCCCAGACCCTGGAGACTCATTCCTCAGAGAATGTAGTGGTGAAGTGGACAGGAGAGCACAACACCGTCACCGGGCCCAGCACAGAGCACAGCCCCTCACCGCACTGAATGTCACTATGTGCACAGTGACTCTGTCTTTTTACCATGCTGTGGTATTGCTGCTGCTCCCTGAACAGCTCAGTCGGTACACACACACACACACACACACACACACACACACACACATTCTCTGTCATGTAAATGGCCAGACTAAATCAGTCACAGACAGATGTGCACACACACACATTCACATTCTCCCTCTTTTACACACGCTCACAGGTGTACACACACACACACACAGACACACAGTGACAGGGGACATGCTGGGGGGAGCTGATAAACTCCTCAGAAAGCCAATCTCTCCCCTGCAAACATCTTCAATACATCAGCCATCAAAGGAGTCTAATCCCATTACTCTTGTAGCTTTGTTAGGTTTTGTTTGGAGATGAGTCCCCATTCCCGTCCCTGTCCCCTCGACCTGGCCTATGCCAGACACGTCCCTTTGTTGCTGAGGCTGAGCAGGTATTTAGGGGCCACCTTCCTGTGTAAACAGCCTCGGGTGGTGAGATTATGGCCGCCATCATTGGGCCATACATCATCCTGAGGTGAGGCACGCCACGGGGGGAGGAAGGAGGGAGTGAAGGGGAGGGGGGAGGAAGGGGGAGGGATGCTAACGGGATGAGAGCAGGTAAATTAGCCAGACTCCAGCGTGATCCTCTAATCTGTTGTGTTGTGTTGTGTCGGTCCTGTAGATCATGTGTCAGTGGGCGGCCTGGGAGACAGCTTCTATGAGTACCTCCTCAAGGCCTGGCTGATGTCGGACAAGACAGATGAGGAGGGCAAAAAACTCTACTACGACGCTCTGCAGGTAAACCCCTCCAGACACCTAGCCTACACACCTCTTTCATATCCTCTCCTCTGCTCCTTTCACCCTCCTTTCTACTCCCCCTCTGCTCCCACTCCTCTCCTCTGCTCCTTTCACCCTCCTTTCTACTCCCCCTCTGCTCCCACTCCTCTCCTCTGCTCCTTTCACCCTCCTTTCTACTCCCCCTCTGCTCCCACTCCTCTCCTCTGCTCTTGTCTTCTCTCCTCAGCTTTTCTCCTGTCTTACTGAGATGAATGGCTACAGTACCAGCACTATCTGAAGCACTGACTATACCTTGTCAAGAGGCTCTTTCAACCTCGATTGAAAGCTTTTGTCTGTGTGTCAACAACAGTTACATTTCTTCAAATACTGTGAACAGTCAGAGTCGGAAATCAATAACAGTATGGGTTGGAGTCTGAATGTAAAGCATGCTACGCCAGGTAGGAGTTGTCTATTTCTGAGTGTGGATAACAAACCGCACTCCACAGGATATAGTTAAAGTAGGGTTGAAGGCGGTCAGTGGATGTGGGGGGCAGCCGGACTCAGAGCTCTGTCTGGTGAGATGGGCTCTGACTGCTGCTAGCCCAATTCTCTGTTTCATTAGAGCCAAGCAGCCTGTCCTGTGGGAGATAAACATATTTCTGTCTGTACAGTCGTGGTCAAAAGTTTTGAGAATGACACAAGTATTGGTCTTCACAAAGTTCGCTGCTTCAGTGTTATGAGATACTTTTGTCAGATGTTACTATGGAATACTGAAGTATAATTACAAGCACCCTTCTTTTTCAAGACCTCTGCAATCCGCCCTGGCATGCTGTCAACATCCTGACTGATGGCAGCCCATTCTTGCATAATCAATGCTTGGAGTTTGTCAGAATTTGTGGGTTTTTGTTTGTCCACCCGCCTCTTGAGTATTGACCACAAGGTCTGGGGAGTTTCCTGGCCATGGACCCAACATTTCGACGTTTTTTTCCCGAGCCACTTAGTTATCACTTTTGCCTTATGGCAAGGTGCTCCATCATGCTGGAAAAGGCATTGGTCGTCACCAAGCTGTTCTTGGATGGTTGGGAGAAGTTGCTCTCGGAGGATGTGTTGGTACCATTCTTTATTCATGGCTGTGTTCTTAGGCAAAATTGTGAGTGAGCCCACTCCCTTGGCTGAGAAGCAACCCCACACATGAATGGTCTCAGGATGCTTTACTGTTGGCATGACACAGGACTGATGATAGAGCTCACCTTGTCTTCTCCGGACAAGGTGTTTTCCGGATGCCCCAAACAATCGGAAAGGGGATTCATCAGAGAAAATGACTTTACCCCAGTCCTCAGCAGTCCAATTCCTGTACCTTTTGCAGAATATCAGTCTGTCCCTGATGTTTTTCCTGGAGAGAAGTGGCTTCCTTGCTGCCCTTCTTGACACCAGGCCATCCTCCAAAAGTCTTCGCCACACTGTGCGTGCAGATGCACTCACACCTGCCTGCTGCCATTCCTGAGCAAGCTCTGCACTGGTGGTCCTGCAGTTGAATCAACTCTAGGAGACGGTCCTGGCGCTTGCTGGACTTTCTTGGGCACCCTGACGCCTTCTTCACAACAATTGAACCTCTCTCCTTGAAGTTGTTGATGATCCGATAAATGGTTGATTTAGGTGCAATCTTACTAGCAGCAATATCCTTGCCTGTGAAGCCCTTTTTGTGCAAAGCAATGATGACGGCACGTGTTTCCTTGCAGGTAACCATGGTTAACAGAGGAAGAACAATGATTTCAAGCACCACCCTCCTTTTAAAGCTTCCAGTCTGTTATTCTAACTCAATCAGCATGACAGAGTGATCTCCAGCCTTGTCCTCGTCAACACTCTCTCCTGTGTTAACGAGAGAATCACTGACATGATGGCAGCTGGTCCTTTTGTGGCAGGGCTGAAATGCAGTGGAAATGTTTTTGGGGGATTAAGTTCATTTTCATGGCAAAGAGGGACTTTGCAATTAATTGCAATTCATCTGATCACTCTTCATGACAATCTGGAATATATGCAAATTGCCATCATCAAAACTGAGGCAGCAGACTTTGTGAAAATTAGTATTTGTGTCAATCTCAAAACTTTTGACCAAGACTGTACAGAGGTCCACAAGGACCCAGACTGCTCCAGGATATTACTCTCTCTCCTCGAGTCCCCTCCCAGCCAGCCTCGTTTCCCCACCACACCTGCCCGCCTGCCATCCACCTGGGCGAGACACCACAAGCAGGTCACCCACAGCGAGAGGGTCCCCATGGCCACGCCATGCCATCCTCTATTTCGGTCAAGCAGCCTGAGAGGCAGGCGGTTAGGAACAGACTGTTCTCTTATTAATGGCTCCTTGGCATCCTCGCCTCAGTGCCGGCCCGGCCTACATTCTCTCTCTCTCCCTCTCCCTCTCCCTCTCCCTCTCCCTCTCCCTCTCTCTCTCCCTATCTCTCTCTCTTCTCTCTATCCTCTCTCTCTATCTCTCTCTCTCTCTCTCTCTCTCTCTCTCTCTCTCTCTCTCTCTCTCTCTCTCTCTCTCTCCTCTCTCTCTCTCTCTCTCTCTCTCTCTCTCTCCCTAAATCAACTCTCTCTCTCTGTCTCATGAGAAGCTGAACAAGATGCGCTGCTGTCTGCCTCTGTCTATCTGCTCCAGGTCTATTTGTCTGTCAGGCTTTAGATCCCCCCCTGGATGGAGGTTAGGGAGAACATATGGCCACAGGGACTCACAGAAGGTAGCTATAAAATATATATGGTTCATATATATGCTTTATCTGTTCCTGAAGCACTAGTAGTCAGAGGCAGAGATTGAAGGAAATGGTCTCAGCAGGAACAGGCTGGGCTGTTGCTAAACAGGACATAGGCTGCCTTTAAAGAGACCAAAGGAAATGAAATAACCAGCTTAGGGGAATATTAATCAGCTGGTTTTCTGAGGCGGAACGCGGCGTATAAAGCCCAGCCGCCTATACACGGACCCATTTACATGATGTGTTACACTCTACAAAAGCACCGATCTGAATGATCTTTTGAAAATGTCATTACTTTCAGGAGATTTGCCATATTTCGTTTTCTTAGGTCTTCCCCATGCAGGAGAAAAGCAGACCCAATGAATATGAAAAGAAATGTGCCAAGTGAAGCGATGAACAATGAGGCGTATCAGAGAATGCACCTGGAATAGTGTAGCGTTTCAACATGCCGTCGACTTGTCTTTGCTGCGGTTATTTATTCCCTATGTTAAAAGGCAGGTTTATATCTCTCTCTACATCAGTAATGGCCCTATATTTCTGTAATAACTGTGTTTTGTCTGTCAGTCATGTGATGGTACTGTATTGGACACCTGCTGTGTGGCTAGCGGCGGAGAGACGGGCCGCCCGTTGTTCTGAATGATTTGTTGTCCTCCTGGTGTCATGTCTCGCTGTGGATGGGACACGCCTGTCATTCCAGAATGTCTCTGGGTAAAGTGGCCCTCGTGTATGTGTAAATTTCAGGGATAAATAGGAGCAGCGTTCTTTGTGTCCACGCTGCCCCAGAAAATAGATAACACTGGCTGGCCACCAGCTGGGACCCCTAGTTTTCCTACAACAGCAGCTTCATCAAGCTTAACAATGCTATTTGGGCAGTAGTTATTCATGTTCCGGAAGGGTCCACCCCATTTGCATGGGAATGGCCCTTGTCTGGGACTAGGGTTGGATAGAGTGCTCATCTGTCTTCCGTTCTTGTCATTGTCCTCCAGGCCATTGAGACCAGTTTGATAAGGAAGTCCAGCGGCGGCCTGATGTACATCGCCGAGTGGAAGGGCGGGCTGCTGGAGCACAAGATGGGTCACCTGACGTGCTTTGCCGGGGGCATGATCGCCCTGGGGGCGGATGGAGCGCCCGAAGACAAGACGGGTCACCAGATGGAGCAGGCCGCAGAGATTGCCCGAACCTGCCATGAGTCCTACGCCCGCACCAGTGAGTCTGACTGACTGACTGACTGACCCCGACGTCTGGGGCACATCAGTCCCCCTGTCTCCCTCTACAGCAGTGGTAGGCAACGGGGCTGCAGTGTGTACAGGCTTTTGTTTCTATTCCGCTTGAACATACCTGATTCAACTAATCCAGCTAATCTTCAGATTAGACCGTGATTGGTTGAATCAGCTGAGTTAATGCTGGTCTGGAACAAAAGCCTGAACACACTGCAGCCCTTCAGAACCAGAGTTCGGAAAGTATTTAGGCCCCTTGACTTTTTCCACATTTTGTTACGTTACATCCTTATTCTAAAATTGATTAAAATATTGTTTTTCCTCATCAATCTACACACAATACCCCATAATAACAAAAATAAAAACAGATATATTGCATTTACATAAGTATTCAGACCCTTTGCTATGAGACTCGAAATTGAGTTCCGATCCATCCTGTTTCCATTTATCATCTTTCAGATGTTTCTACAACTTGATTGGAGTCCACCTGTGGTAAATTCAATTGATTGGACATGATTTGGAAAGGCACACACCTGTCTATATAAGGTCCCACAGTTGACAGTGCATGTCAGAGCAAAAACCAAGCCATGAGGTCGAAGGAATTGTCCGTAGAGCTCCGAGACAGGATTCTGTCGAGGCACAGATCTGGGGAAGGGTACCAAAATATTTCTGCAGCATTGATTGTCCCCAAGAGTGGCCTCCATCATTCTTAAATGGAAGAAGTTTGGAACCACCAAGACTCTTCCTAGAGCTGGCCGCCTGGCCAAACTGAGCAATCAGGGGGGAAGGGCCTTGGTCAGGGAGGTGACCAAGAACCCGATGGTAACTCTGACAGAGCTCCAGAGTTCCTCTGTGGAGATGGGAGAGCCTTCCAGAAGGACAACAATCTCTGCAGCACTCCCCCAATCAGGCCTTTTATGGTAGAGTGGCCAAACGGAAGCCACTCCTCAGTAAAAGGCACAGGACAGCCCGCTTGGAGTTTGCCAAAAGGCACCTAAAGGACTCTCAGATCATGAGAAACAAGGTTCTTTAGGCTGATGAAACCAAGATTGAACTCTTTGGCCTGAATGCCAAGCGTCACGTCTGGAAGAAACTTGGAACCATCCCTACGGTGAAGCATGGTGGTGGCAGCATCATGTTGCGGGGATGTTTTTCAGCAGCAGGGACTGGGAGACTAGTCAGGATCAAGGGAAGGATGAACAGAGAGTACAGAGAGATCCTTGATGAAAACCTGCTCCAGAGCTCTCAGGACCTCAGACTGGGGTGAAGGTTCACCTTCCAACAGGACAACGACCCTAAGTACACAGCCAAGACAACGCAGGAGTGGCTTTGGGACAAGTCTCTGAAAGTCCTGGAGTGGCCCAGCCAGAGCCCGGACTAGATCCCGATCGAACATCTCTGGAGAGACCTGAAAATAGCTGTGCAGCGATGCTCCCCATCCAACCTGACAGAGCTTGAGAGGATCTGCAGAGAAGAATGGGAGAAACTCCCCAAATACAGGTGTGCCAAGCTAGTAGCGTCATACCCAAGAAGATCTGAGGCTGTAATCGCTGCCAAAGGTGCTTCAACAAAGTACTGATATTTCAGTTTTTAAAAACAATTATACAAACCTGTTTTTCCTTTGTCATTATGGGGTATTGTGTGTAGATTGACGAGGGAAAAAAACAATTGAATCCATTTCAGAATAAGGCTGTAACGTAACAAAACTTTGAAAAAGTCAAGTGGTCTGAATACTTTCCGAATGCACTGTATACACACACTCCTCTTCAGAGCAAGCCGTTGAGCCTGGTTTCTCTCTGAGCCCAGAGGGGCTGCTGGGTAGACAGAGCATAGTGCCAGCCAGGTTAGTCTGAGTCAGATGGTCTCTCCTCTCACTTCCTCTGGTCCGGATTGACCATCAGGAAACCTATTAGGGCTGGGAATTGGCATAGACCTCACAATTCAATATTATCCCGGTACTTAGGTACCAATACTATATGTATTGCAATTCGATACTGTGATTTTATTGTGATTCGATGTTCCAAACATAATGCTCACCATATGTCTGCTGCAGAGAGACATGAGAAAATGAGTTTTGATCAGTCATGGAAATAAAAGTGCTGAAAACAAATTAGCTCCTTATTTCAAAAGAAGATGGAGAACAAGCTATGAAGGAAAAATACTGGAGCATTGGTGCAGGTACAGCCAACTAGTACAAAAATAATATTGCAATATTGTCAAAATGATACGATATATCGTAAAAAATTATATGCCGATATGTAACTATCCATTTCTTTCCCCCATCACTACAATATATCTATCCATCTACAGTGAGGGAAAAAAGTATTTGATCCCCTGCTGATTTTGTACGTTTGCCCACTGACAAAGACATGATCAGTCTATAATTTTAATGGTAGGTTTATTTGAACAGTGAGAGACAGAATAACAACAACAAAATCCAGAAAAACGCATGTCAAAAATGTTATAAATTGATTTTCATTTTAATAAGGGAAATAAGTATTTAACACCTCTGCAAAACATGACTTAGTACTTGGTGGCAAAACCCTTGTTGGCAATCACAGAGGTCAGACGTTTCTTGTAGTTGGCCACCAGGTTTGCACACATCTCAGGAGGGATTTTGTCCCACTCCTCTTTGCAGATCTTCTCCAAGTCATTAAGGTTTCGAGGCTGATGTTTGGCAACTCGAACCTTCAGCTCCCTCCACAGATTTTCTATGGGATTAAAGGTCTGGAGACTGGCTAGGCCACTCCAGGACCTTAATGTGCTTCTTCTTGAGCCACTCCTTTGTTGCCTTGGCTGTGTGTTTTGGGTCATTGTCATGCTGGAATACCCATCCACGACCCATTTTCAGTGCCCTGGCTGAGGGAAGGATGTTCTCACCCAAGATTTGACGGTACATGGCCCCGTCCATCGTCCCTTTGATGCAGGGAAGTTGTCCTGTCCCCTTAGCAGAAAAACACCCTCAAAGCATAATGTTTCCACCTCCATGTTTGACTGTGGGGATGGTGTTCTTGGGGTCATAGGCAGCATTCCTCCTCCTCCGAACACGGCGAGTTGAGTTGATACCACAGAGCTCGATTTTGGTCTGATCTGACCACAACACTTTCACACAGTTCTCCTCTGAATCATTCAGATGTTCATTGGCAAACTTCAGACGGCCCTGTATATGTGATTTCTTGAGCAGGGGGACCTTGCGGGCGCTGCAGGATTTCAGTCCTTCACGGCGTAATGTGTTACCAATTGTTTTCTTGGTGACTATGGTCCCAGCTGCCTTGAGATCATTAACAAGATCCTCCTGTGTAGTTCTGGGCTGATTCCTCACCGTTCTCATGATCATTGCAACTCCACGAGGTGAGATCTTGCATGGAGCCCCAGGCCGAGGGAGATTGACAGTTCTTTTGTGTTTCTTCCATTTGCGAATAATCGCACCAACTGTTGTCATCTTCTCACCAAGCTGCTTGTCGATGGTCTTGTAGCCCATTCCAGCCTTGTGTAGGTCTACAATCTTGTTCCTGACATCCTTGGAGAGCTCTTTGGTCTTGGCCATGGTGGAGAGTTTGGAATCTGATTGATTAATTACTTCTGTGGACAGGTGTCTTTTATACAGGTAACAAGCTGAGATTAGGAGCACTCCCTTTTAGAGTGTGCTTCTAATCTCAGCTCGTTACCTGTATAAAAGACAACTGGGAGCCAGAAATCTTTCTGATTGAGAGGGGGTCAAATACTTATTTCCCTCATTAAAATGCAAATCAATTTATAACATTTTTTTGTTGTTATTCTGTCTCTCACTGTTCAAATAAACCTACCATTAAAATTATAGACTGATCATTTCTTTGTCAGTGGGCAAACGTGCAAAATCAGCAGGGGATCAAATACTTTTTTCCCTCACTGTACCTATCTATCAATTTACTATCAACAGAACTGGCTCAGGACATCGCTAGATTAGATTCAGATACGGTTCTATGAAGCAGTGTAATCCGCTGACCCTGCCTGACTCCACAGCACCCCTGTGCCCCCATCCCACCTCCAACCCACCTCAATCCCCTCCCCCACCCCCGCTGAGTCACTGCCTGCCTGTGTGCATAGGTGCTAGTTCTCATCAAACAGGGATTACAGGAATGAACAATAGGCCTAAACCCTGTTAATTCCCTTTACCTTTTGAACTTTGCTTTACTCATAATCTGGTCTCTGGGCTGGTGGCCTGCTGTGAAATGTCATCATGGGTTCATGCTCCATCCAGGAACTGAAGTTTAGTTTTCTGGGTTCTCTTGACATTCTGTGTCCTTTACTTTCACCTAGAGCTAGGTTTGGGTTTTTCGTTGACGTGTTGTTGTCTTCCTTTGTTCCCGTGTCATAGCCCTGAAGCTGGGCCCGGAGGCGTTCAGGTTTGACGGGGGCGTGGAGGCCATCGCCACGCGGCAGAACGAGAAGTACTTCATCCTGAGGCCAGAGGTCATCGAGACCTACATGTACATGTGGAGGTTCACCCACGACCCTAAGTACAGGGAGTGGGGCTGGGAGGCCGTGCAGGTGAGAACTACAGTAGGGTTGGGCGATATCCAGATTTTCATATCGCCATACCGTCCATCTCTCACCCTGGGATTTACGGTATTACCGGTTTGGTACACAAGTGGGCGCCAAAAAAAGCTCAAAATGCTAACAACATTATCACAGGTAATAGTGCATTTCCATGGAGGCTGCTAGCTAAATATGCAAACGAGCGCAATAGAAAATAAACGAATTGCAAAGACAGGCAATCAAGCTCATACAGTTATACATATATAGGTAGGAGCTACCGAATGTCATTTTTTGGTGAGTTTGGACTTTCACGAGCGAATGTGAACAAGAGACATTGTGCAAATGAACAAAGCTTTAATGCATGCAGTACTGGCTCTCCAACAGTCTGTGTGGACTGTGGAGTCTGGAGTCGCTAGGGCAACGGGCCTGCCTGCTCTGCTTAGAGAAGAGGGGGGAGGAGCAGACGGGCCAAGAACAGAGAGGAGAAAACATCGCAGTGGCAGCTGTACAGATAAATCATCCAAAGGGCTTTGACTTTTCAAACACGTCAGAAAGCTAACACAATATGATGCCCCATCACCTTATTAATTGAGCCACTTACTTAGATACCAAGTTAAACTAGGGGTCGTGTTAACCCATAATTCAGAGTTTTTCACGCAGGAGAAAAATAGAAAACGCATAAGAAATATATTGCTGCATTTTGTAAACACATCTAAAATGCTTCTTCTTGTAATTTCTGCTCGGCATCAGACTCATTTTGTGCTTCAGTTGCACTTTTAAACTGGGATGAGAATTCAGGAACGGGCGTTCTATCAGCAGACTGCACTCTGACTGATGTATAGCTTCCTTTCTCGGTGTAGCCAGCCTATTTTTCTTTGGTAAAATGCAAGATTAACTTTAAGCAAAACATTAGCAAATGTAGCCGGCTACATTCTTTCGATGATCGGCCTAAACATTAGAAATATGATGGCCATGCATCGTTTTTGCAAAAGATACCTTGCTTTTTCATTGTAAGCTCATTTACTTGTGTGTCTGCCAGCCAAATAGCGTTGCACTTCTGTTGTCATTTGATGAAAATTAGGCTATTTTCTGCTGAATGTATTGCACTAATGTATTTTCTGTGAAGGAAAACTAAAGTTGCACGTCTCTGATCACTCTTTTGAAGCCAAAAAACACTGTGGACTTCCAATTTTAAACACAATCCCTGTCAATACACAGCTGGACTCATCTGCTCCCGCTTTCTCCTGTTGTGCTATTTACAAACTAACACGTGACTGGCTCAACTGTGCTGGGGAACTACGATAAGCTTCATAATGTAAAATAATGTGACCGGTGAAATAAGAACGCTATCTGCTTTATCTCCTAACGCATTACACAAGTTGACTGCAGGTATGTACTTAAAAAGTAGCTACAAATATTAAAATGTATTGAAAAACATCAAATAAATAGTTTCAACAGTATTGACGGTATTGGAAAACCATCCCGTGGCTATTTCCAAATACCCTGGTATACAGTATATATGGTATACTGCCCAAGCCTAAACTACAGTACCCATCATCCATCAGAACTATCCCACCACAGTCCTTCCTGTCATGTTTGTGTCACTCTGTCCCTTCCTAACCTCCACTGAGAAGAGACTTCCTCTCAAATCACAGTGAAAAGGGCTCTGCACTCCAATAGACCCCTGTTCACTGTGATTTGTAGACTCATTCAGGTCTACACATGGCTAATTCTGAGCGCAGTAGGCTCCAAAACCTCTGAGACTCTTCCTTCCTCACTTCTCTCTCTCTCTCTCGCTCTCCCTCCCTCCCTCCCCTCTGCTGTATCATTGCCATGCTGCAACAGAACAGAACAGTGGCGATGGTGAATGCTGATTGCCCAAATCCCAGAGCCGTGTAATTGTATCCACTAATGACATGAGATTACCTCTGATGGGCCTTGTGTTAGCCATAAATCTGCCTGTCTCTCTACCTGCCTGCAGATACTGTACCTCCTCCTCCCTCCTCCCTCTTCAGCCAGACTGGATGTGTGAACACTGCAGCCCCTTCCTCCTCAGCCCCATTCTCTCCCTGAGTCATTGTGCCTAAGGCAGCCTCCCCTTCTCTCCTTTCCTCTCCCCCCCCCCCCCACCCCCAGGCAGAGCAGCCACACTGAATTGAAATGTGCTGGCTCAACAACTAGCTAGCACAGAGCATACATCTCCAACACACTGACATAAGAACAGAGTCAGCTCAACACTGCTCCCTCCGCTCTACTTTCTGTTCTCTCTCTGTGTCTCTCAGGCTCTGGAGAAGCACTGTCGTGTGGAGGGGGGCTACAGTGGTGTGAGGGATGTCTACGCCTCCAGCCCCAACCATGACGACGTCCAGCAGAGCTTCTACCTGGCCGAGACACTCAAGTAAGACCCTCACACACACACACACACACACACACACACACACACAGTGTCATCTAGTCACTCACTGTCATTCTGCATAGAGGCATCTGGATACCTAGTATGAAAACTTTGGCCTTGCCTTTTCCATTATAGTCATTTAGCAGATGCTCTTATCCAGAGCGACTTACAGTTAGTGCATTCATCTTAAGATGGCTAGGTGGGACAACCACATATCACAGTCAGAGTAAGTACATTTTTCCTCAATAAAGTAGCTATCAGCAAAGTCAGCGCTAGTAATAGGGGGGAAAAAGTCAAGTGCGATTGTTAGTCCATTAGATAGAAATGTTATCGATCTTGTCTGAAAATACATCAGGTTTGTTGGCATGCTTTTGTTATCCTACATCCTTCCCCAGAACCTTCCCTTGAATAACTACAGTATTGGATTTTCTTGAAAATATACTGGGACAGGTGAGGTCATGAATGTTCCTCCCCATTATACCAAGTAGACCGTTATCTTAATCTTCTCGTGTGTGGATGAGTTCGACACCCACACAGTTCCATGACATCTAAGACCTGCTCTAGAGTTTCATCACATCCTGAAAAACAGACATCAATTCTATGACAGCTCCTGACATTCAGTTTGTTTGAACACTTCAAAACAGATCAGAAGTAGAATAATGTCCTTCCCCCACTGAGTACTCCACCTCTGTCTGTGCTGTGCCTGCGAGCCTCTGAGGAGAAACTACTGACATCCTGGGTGTATTGTTGGGTGTATTGTCACGGCCGGCTCAGACAGACAGGCAGGCTGCTGCTAGCACAGTGTGCTGTGGACTACATGTACAGGGACCTCAGCAGGGACCTTTCTGTTGAGTATCAGTGGTGTTGTTTTGTTTCTGTTGAGTATCAGTGGTGTTGTTTTGTTTCTGTTGTGGATCAGTGGTGTTGTTTTGTTTCTGTTGAGGATCAGTGGTGTTGTTTTGTTTCTGTTGAGGATCAGTGGTGTTGTTTTGTTTCTGTTGAGGATCAGTGGTGTTGTTTTGTTTCTGTTGAGGATCAGTGGTGTTGTTTTGTTTCTATTGAGTGTCAGTGGTGTTGTTTTGTTTCTATTGATTGTCAGTGGTGTTGTTTTGTTTCTATTGAGTGTCAGTGGTGTTGTTTTGCGCCCCTCCTGTGGGAGCCTTGTCACAGCACTCTGGTGTGACCTTATAGAGAGGTCATGGGCTCTGTGTCCCTGCTGTCCCTGCTCTGCTCTGTGTCCCTGCTCTGCTCGGCTCTACTCTGTGTCCCTCCTCTGCTCGGCTCTGCTCTGTGTCCCTCCCTTGCTCTGCTCTGTGTCCCTCTTCTGCTCGGCTCTGCTCTGTGTCCCTCCCCTGCTCTGCTCTGCTCCGGGGGCTAGGGACTGTAACGTCAGCCACGTCACCATGACTCAGTCAGATAACAACAAGCTGCACGCAGGAGAGAGGGAAAGAAGGAAAGGGAAAGAGAGGTAGGAAGATGAAGAGAGAGAGAGATGGAAAGAGGGGACCTGGGGAGAGAGGAAAATAAGATAGGTTCAAGGTTGGGATAGAGAAAGGATAAGAGGGTAAGTGAGGGAGGGAGGGAGTCTTGCTTGACAGAAAAGTGAAATATGTTTTCACCATCCTGTGCAGTTAATAACTGCAGCACTTTGATGTTGGTGTTGATTGTCCTTTTGTGCCCAAACCCCTGGGCTAATCTGCCTCTCTGACTGATGCTTCTATGAAACGCTGTGTGAGTCCCACCGCTTAATAGAGCCGTTCAAACTTCTCTAGTATTTAATGGTGGTGGAAAGTGCTGCAATTTGGCGAATAGGGTCTCCAGATCCCAGGCCTGCCCAAATGCCTTGTTTACTGATGCTTGCAAAATCCATCTTTTAGGCACTGGCTCTCCCTCACTCCCTACTTTCTTCCACTCCCTTTTTTCTGCCTCTCTTACCTTCTCTTTCCCTCTCACCCTCTCTCTTCCTGTCACCCCTCTCCTTTCTCCTCTCTCTCCTCTCTCTCCATCTCTCTCTCAGCCTCCTAGCCAGGGTCCTCCTCCTTCATCTCTTAGAGTGAGGTCACATTAGCAATAGTGACTCTGAAAACGGTGTATATCTGTCTGTCTGGCTGTTTGCTTTGCTGTCTCCTCCCGTTCCTTCCCAGGGAGGTGGGCTGTGCTGTGGGCTTGTTGTAGCGCATGGCCTACTGCATTAACAAGTTCCCCCAGATCAAAAGCTAAGCACTTGTCAACATGAAGGGGCCCACAAGCCACCCCGCTTATTCTCTTTGTTCCCAGTATTAGGACACGGGATTCTGTTAAAGAGGGATCCTATGCTATGACTTAATGAGTTATTTTTGTTTTACTCCACATTCCTAGTGTAGTGAAATGGGGTTTTGAGTAATCACTTGTGTTCTGAGAACACTGGGGGCTAATGGGGGGGTCACTGACTGTGATGGACTCAATGTTCCTCCCCCTAGCTGTGCCTTGATCTGGTTGGTCTGGTCTGGTTTAACTGTTGGGAGGAGGGCCTGGACTCTCTCTCCCACCCACGGCCTTTAATCATCCCTCTCTGTAACATCTGGAGCCACCACCTATCTCTTTCTCTTTCTCTCTTGGCATGGGAGAGTTCCTGAACTGGTTGTTCCCTGAGTTGGTTTTGGGACATGTCTTATGAGACTGCCCACGACCCACCTCCTTCTCTGACACTCTCAGACTTCTAGTAGATGTTGTCCATGATTGCATCAGTCTGAGAACACAACTAGGAGTGGAGGTTGTTGGTATAAATAAGTGGGCTGTCTGAGGTCCTCATGTTTTGTTGATCACATATGAGTGTTTGAGCTAAGTTGAGTCTCTCTCTCGCTCTCTCAGATACCTGTACCTGCTCTTCTCTGATGATGACCATCTTCCCTTGGAGCACTGGGTGTTCAACACCGAGGCCCACCCCCTCCCTGTCATTAAGAAGGAGATGACAGACACAGACAAGCCCAGCCAGCTGGAGTAGAGTGGTCCTCCTGGACCACCCCCTGACCTGACCCCTCCCACCACCAAACTCCTCTACCCCCTCCCTCTCTGAGCAGTGGGCGGAGCTGTCTCTCTTACTCCTCCCCCACCATGGGTGGAGCTCACCCAGGCAGGCCACTCCCCTGGCGGACTGGACTCTCTCCTGTTTTGGAGTCCCTGACCAGACCAGATGGAACCGGACCGGACCGGCTGCCTGCCTCTCCAGACCCAGACTGCCCCCTACTGGGGACTGGGAAGAACCACCTCATCCAAGAGTGCTCGTCTTGTCATCTTGTAGAGAAAGCAGTCAGTCTGCATGCTGCCGTCCGTCCCCCCCACCCCCCCTCCCTCTCAGTGCTGTAAATCTACCCTCCTCTGTGAGGAGAACAGGACACTCTGCGCTGTAAGATTTGCCGTCACTCCAAAAAAAAGCCATACTGATTTGAAGACAGCTTTATCATTTTTATTTATTTTTTTCCACCATTTGGGGTATGTGTTTGTGGGTGAGACTGAAAACAGATCTATGTCAATCAACATATTATCACATTTGTGTCGTTCTTATCATAAATATGATTTTAGTCACACTTAAACAATGGACCATTTAGGTGGATTTCTGTTAAAGACCCAGAGCTTGGTTCTCACCTGCTTGATAGTCAAATCTTAACTAGTGCCTTTCAGTCTAAAATGGTCTATCAAATAAGCAGTTCAGGCAAATGGCAAGGTTTAAAGGGCAGGTAGGTACCACATTGTTCAGATGGCATCGTTGATTTAGTGCTTAATCATCTCCTCTACCACAGTGACATCTAGTGTTCGACACCAGTAATACACCAGTCCAGTCCTCCAGTCAGTCGACATTACATTTCAGTCATTTAGCAGACGCTCTTATCCAGAGCGACTTACAGTTAGTGAGTGCATAATTTTTTTTTTTTTCATACTGGCCCCCCGTGGGAATCGAACCCACAACCCTGGCGTTGCAAGCGCCATGCTCTACCAACTGAGCTACACGGGGCCATAGAGTAATAAAGGAGATGAAGTACCTTGATGGGAAAAGACCTGCACTGAGAACAACCTCTGTTAATGACGTAGAAATGTTGACAATCGATCTGGTTCCTTCTTCCTGAAATATGGAACGTGTGGACAGTAGAGTTCATCCCTTCTACCAACATGTCATCAATTCATTCAGCCTAGTCTGTTTGTCAGAGCTCGCTTTGTTTCCCACCCCCATCATCAACATGTTCCTTTGTTTATTAATTGACAAAGTTGACATGTGCTTTGTTTGTTTGTTTGTTTGTTTGTTTGTTCCTTTATTACAGGTGGTAGAGACATGAATCCATGTAATGTAAATAGTTGCTTTGCTGTTAATTTATTCCATAGTACATAGGAAGGAAGGTTTAGGATCAGGCCCCTAGGTGGCACTGTGGAGCGAGAGGCTGTGTTGTTGTTTAGGTGGATGGTGGGAAGACAGTGTGGGGGAGACAAGGGCAGAATCAGACCAAGAACTTGGGAGTCAATCATATGGAACGAATGCATCATATGAATGTACCATCAAATGTGAACTGAAGATTATTTGACCTTTGTTGTTCTTCATTTGTTTGTTTGTTTGTTGTTCCTTTCTTCTGGAAAGCACAAAATGTTGAAACAATGTTTTGTGGTACCCAGAGCTATGTATTTAGAGAGTTGGGCCATTGAGGTTTCTGCATTATGAAGCATTTACATGACACTACAACATTCTATGGCAGCCATGTTAGCTCTCCATTTAACACAGCATAGGGAATATTTAAATAATGATATGTAACTGAATGTCTAAAATTAGAAATATTCCAAATTCGTACAGTTGGCCCAACTCTTTAAAATATATGGCTCTGGTGGTACCGATCAGAGGATGCTGTTAGTCAGTTCAGAAGAATAAGAGGAAGCACAATGCGTAGTTGTTTAGTTGTGTTGAAATGTAATGAGAAGATGCAAGGAAGGTTGTATGTCCACTACACTGGATGACATACACTCACATATGAACATGCATGCATACATGCTGAGTACTGTATAAAGACAAGAGGATAAATACATAGAAACGGTCATATACTGTACATGCGTATCATACACAGACGTACACACTATACACACACTCACACGCTCAAACACACTTATGAACATGGACGTTTATGGACACTCAGAAATGGATGTTCAGGTGACCACAGGACCCATCTAACCACTCTTAGTTGTCCACATACATCTTATTGGGAAATAGATGGGGTAGGATCAAGAGGTCTTGAAGAAGGGCCTTCGTCATAGTTGAAGTAATAGTCATATTCTTACATTAGAGGATAGACCAGACAAGAGCTTTGAGAAGCTGATATCAGCCTACTACTGGAGCCAAACTCTTCCAGAGCCAGCAGGGCAGCCTACCTGTTTACCTGACTGGAGGAAGCAATGTTAATGAGGGAAACTGTGATATCCAAGTAGGCTGACATCCCTACCACCTAGTTCAGTTCGGTAGCCATTCCGGCTCCAGGGAAGAGCATCACTATACACTGTGATACACTGTAGATATGAAATTGCTGCATTCACCATCCCTGCACTGTCTGAGAGCCTAAGTGTTTCTCCTCCTGACTGTTGCAGATTTAGGGAGCAGCAGAGATAACTCGTAGTGATACTGAGAAACTTAAAGTCGCTGTAAAAATCTAACACACGATATATGAACCAGTCATTTCCTTTCATCTTTGTTTCAATATGCAGACTAGAAGACGTGCTGTTCATTTCAAATTGACTTTGTGGTTGAATATTGTGCTGACGATCTCTCGCATTACAATGCCTTTTATTTGTGAATCTCTTGTTAATGGTTTTGTGAAACAACCTAAAAAATGTAAACTGTACAATATTGCTGATAATCATTCCATTGCACATAGTTTATTTTGCTTTATATGCAAGTTTAATTTTGTGGGGAATTGTTCTTTTTTTTGTTTTTTGTTATTCAAATGTAAATATTCCATTCTGGCAAATATGCCATTCTACATTTATATAAATCTTATGAGCTTAAATGATATTAATGAGCAGCAAAATGTTTCATAAACTATATTTGTTACACTTCTATTGTGAATAAAACAATCTTTTAATATCAAGTGTTTTTAATTTAATTCTGAAATGACATCAATTTTATTAGTGCTCCATGACCAGGTCAAATGTGTGTGATGATCAATTACATTTTCATCATTTAGCAGACACTCTTATCCAGAGCGACTTACAATTAGTGCATACATTATTAATTTTTTCATACTGGCCCCCCGTGGGAATCGAACCCACAACCCTGGCGTTGCAAGCGCCATGCTCTACCAACTGAGCTACACGGGGCCCATCAATATGTGATTACCAGAGACTCTCTCACTCTCACACACTCTCTCGTTCTCTCTCACACACACATCATTCCTTGTAAACCTCAGAAAATGAAGCCAGGGAGGCAGTCAAATGTATCTGTCATTTTCTAATGATTGGGATCCAAACCCCTTCCAAGTGAAGCTATGTGTAGCTGTTATCCACTAGGTGGCAGAAGAGTATCAAAATCCTTTTACTGTTTTTTTTTTGTGATCAACAAAAGCTATCCGCTTGGATAGTTCCATCTGTGCCACTGACTTAGTCTGGCTTTAATTCCAGTTTGTCTACAAATTAATAACTGATATGTTGGATTCACGTCTCCATTTCAATCAAAAATCTAAGTTAAAGAATAGGACTAAATCAAATTAAACTTTAAATGCACTTTAAATTAAGTTTGATTTGATTTAGTACTATTCTTTAACTTTGATTTTTTGGTTGAGATGGAGATGTGAATCCAACATATCAGTTATTGAATTTGAAATCAACCAGAGCTTGAAACCCTAGGCCTAGGTATTGTCTAGTTTTAGTTGAACTCTGTGTTTAATTGAAACAATAGCTGTTGATGACTTTCCAAATCCTATATAGGCCTAAATAGCATCATTGATGATATATGGGTGATATGTATGGTCACAGTTCATTTGCTCTGTTAAACCTACCCTTTGGAATAGAGCCCCACAGTGGAGGTGTCATAATACCCATAAAACCTAGCGGTCAAAAAGAGAAATGGTTCCAATAGTTTTTCCCCCATACATTCTTCCCATTGGGAATTTTAGAAATGCTTAAAATAAGGGCTGTGTTTTGTGTAGGCTTACCCTGGCGTGAAGTTTTGATAACCATGAAAATCTCTCGGACAAGGTGACTTTTATCAATATATTCAGAATGTACGCTTGTGAGATCAGCATGGTTCTTACGAGGCTAAGGAATGTTAATTGTTCAGGGAAATGTAGTTCAATTATAGATTATGGTTTTGTTGACAGATTAGACATTTACGCTATTTCTAAGATGTCTCCAATAATCACTTAATACATTGAATTGATGTCCATCTTAAGCTAGGTAATGTACTGTATACAGAACATGGGTGAACTACAGTTGTGAACTAAGGACACAGGGTGGCAGCACAACCAAGCAGTACATAGTAATAGCTATGAGGGACTTCGTCTATTGCTACACTGAACACAAATATAAATGCACCATATAAAGTGTTGGTCCGATGTTTCATGAGCTGAAATAAAAGATCCCAGAAATGTTCCATACGCATAAAAAGCTTATTTCTCTCAAATGTTGTGCACAAATTTGTTTACATCCCTGTTAGTGAGCATTTCTCGTTTGCCAAGATAATCCATCCACCTGACAGGTGTGGCATATCAAGAAGCTGATTAAACAGTATGATTATTACACAGGTGTACCTTGTGCTGGGGACAATAAAAGGCCACTCTAAAATGTATGGTTTTGTCACACAAAACCAATTGGCATGCTGACTGCAGGAATGTCCACCAGAGCTGTGGCCAGAGTATTGAATGTTCATTTCTCTACCATAAGCTGCCTCCAACGTCATTTTAGAGAATTTGGCAGTACGTCCAACCGCCCTCACAACCGAAGATCAAGTGTATGGCGTCGTGTAGGCGAGCGGTTTGCTGATGTCAAAATTGTGAACAGAGTGCCCCATGGTGGTGGTGGGGTTATGGGCAGGCATAAGCTAGGGAAAACGAACACAATTGCATTTTATCAATGGCAATTTGAATGCACAGAGACAACATGACGAGATTTTGAGGCCCATTGTCGTGCCATTCATCCGCCACCATCACCTCATGTTTCAGCATGATAATGCACGGCCCCATGTCGCAAGGATCTGTACACAAATACTGGAAGCTGAAAATGTCCCAGTTCTTGCATGGCCTGCATACTCACCAGACATGTCACCCATTGAGCATGTTTGGGATGCTCTGGATCAACGTGTACGACATCGTGTTCCAGTTCCCGCCAATATCCAGCAATTT